AAAATTTATTCCGCCCCTGTGTTACATGATGATGCCACTTGATTGTTACGAGACCCTGTCCCTATACTTTATTAAGAGTAATTTGCATAAACTAATAGAGACACTGACCAAGTCTAGAACGAATTCTGTGGCTCAATGAGATGCACTGCTGTAAGGTGGCACCAATTACAAGGTAATCATTGCGACATTTAAGAATGTGACTGCCGGATTTGCTAATTTAAGAACCATATAAGAGCACAAACTCGTAATTTTTACGCTGGAGTACCCTGTAATATGTCTGGTTATAGGTGAGGCCCAATCTGTCTAAAAGTTCTTCCCAATTTGTTTGAGGTCATTTTAAATTGAATCCAAGCCAACTACTACATTACCCTAACATTTGCTAAATGGATGTGAAACCATGCCGCATCAAGCATCACACATAATAAGTGTAGTTGGAAATTGTTGGGAAAAAATACATGGACAGCAAAAATGGAATTACTCAAGCTAACAATTTTCTAGCATATTTCTGGATTAATACAATAAAAAATACAAACCTGTTTAATGACTTCTTCCAACTGGCCACATCCTATTTTCTGTTCCAGTTTGACTGGATCTAGTTCCTGTGGAATAATAAAGATGAGCTTAATACATAAAGATTAGTACATATTAAATAAGACTGGAGGCATAATAATTGTACTGTGCTGTGTTATGCTATTCAGAATCAGCTTACAGTTTTGACATGTTGAAATCGCTCTTTGACTATCTGCTCTGTGTTGCATCGGTAGGGTGCATCCTGTGGAATTTTTCCCAGTGAGCGTAGAATTTTATTATACAGCACCGTCAGTACCTGTTCATAGAAGAGCAAGTATAACTATAAGCACTATGTAAGGACTATGGACAGGGGCGGCGCCACAGGGGGGGCAGGGGGGCGGTCGCCCCCCCCCTATCATTTGCAAGAAAAAGGAAAGAAGAAGAAGAAAAAGAAAAAGAAAAAAGAAAAAGAAAGAAAAAAAAAGAAAAAGAAAAAGAAAAAGAAACATCTTGCAAATGATGGGTGGGGTGGGGGTTACCCCCCCCCCATCATTTGCAAGAAAAGGTAAAGAAGAAGAAGATTCTTGCAAATAATAGGGGGATCGCCCAAAAATGAGTGATGTAGCCTACAAGCTGGACCACTTTCATCGAAAAATCGAAAAATTAAGTGTCGAAATTAAATCCATATAAAACCTGTGCTTAATTTGATAATCGATGTCAAGGTGTC